TACCACTAACCGGGTCCCCCTACCTGGGGTCCTGGCTATACCCGACAATTCTTGCCCCTGGTCAGCCGGAATACGGAGGCTCAGCTGATTGAGGGGCTCAAAAAGGGGAAACTGTGACTGACAATTGGAGCCCTCCACCCCGAGACGGCCGCCGAGACCGCCAGCAGGCCCTCGAGAGGCGCCCAAGAGGCCCTCGCAGTCCCCCGAGAGGCTCCAAGGATGCCCCCAAGAGATCTCACCAGAGAGACCCCAGGTGAGAGGGCTCGCGTCCACGCCCGAGGCACGATGGCGAGGATGGTCGGATGCGAACCGCCTTCCCCGCACACGCCCATCCCCTGTTGGGCCACAGAAGGCCCATTGTGGCGGCGTCAGCGCCTCCGTCTCGGCGCTCTCTGCACCTCCTGCGCACGCCCGCAGAGGGCCCCGACCCCGAAGGCCACCCCAACACCTCCGCAGACGGCTGAGAGCCCGCAATCGGCATGTGCCCGGCACCAGAGGCCCGAAGAGGTGCCCCAGAGGCCTCCTTGGGCCGAAAAGAGATCCCAAACAACTCAATCCTCGATTCGCCTTACGCGCGCGCGCGTAAGGCCTCCTTGGGCCAAAAAGAGATCCCAAACAACTCGATCCTCGATTCGCCTTACGCGCGCGCGCGCCGATGCCCGCCGCCACGCAGCAGGCCGCACCACGGCGCGTGCGGCGGGGGAGCTGGTCCTGGCGCCCGCGCGCGCCCGCAACTGGTGAGGCTGTGGCGGATAAGAGCAGAGCAAGGAACAGCTTGCTATCTCGCGCTCTCTCTCTCTCTCTCTTTCTCTTTCTCTCTCTCTCTCTCTCTCTCTTCTCTCTCTCTCTCTCTCTCTCTAAAGAGAGAGAGAGAGAGAGAGAGAGAGAGACAGAGAGAGAGATCGTGCTTTTCGAGCTACTCGCGGTGCCGCCCTATGGTGGGGCCAGCCCCACGCGCATTCCCCCCTGCCCCGGACGCCACGACTCGTGCCGGAACGCTCTCTGGGACTGGCCTGGGGCAGACAGCTCCCAGACGGCTCCGGCCCCAATCGGGGCCGCCCCCTCCTCCCTTTCCCCCCCGCTAACACCCGCTCAAACCACAGGACAAATCCGCCGATCCGGCGTGTGAGTTTCTGAGAGCGTGGACTTGAGCTCGCTCAAGCTTCGCTCTGCAGGGAGGGGCGCACGTTATTTCCGACGTTCTTCGGTACCCGGGGATATTTCCGACGTCATTTCCAACGTTTTTCGGTACCCGGGGACAGGGGGGTATAGAAAACTCGCTCTCACCCCCCCCGGATCGGCGGCACTGGCCGGAGGCCAGCCCAATACAGTCGGACACGCGAGAGGACACGCGAGAGGACACAAGACCCTTCCGAGGGCCACACTGCCACAGGAATGCAAGAGGCATGGGTCGCGAGGCACAGGACACGAGCGTGCCCCTGATTGGGCAGGGTCGACCCATCAACCCGGGCCGACCGTACACAACAACACTCCCGACCACGAAGGCGGGGGCCGCAGGGAGCACCAACACACTGCGGGCCTCGCGGACGGGGCATGGAGTCGTAGGTTTTTCCGTAAATTCGCCCGGCCCAACGGGCCAGAGTTAAGTTGGACGTGTCCCCTACAGGGGTATTTGCGACGAAAAATACGCAGTACCCCAAACAGACTGCAAATGGTGCAACAATACTAAAAGAATAGTCCCCATAATATATTATTTTATTATTTTTGAATATTCCTCCTGTAGAGGGACGGGCCCGACTTAGGGCCAGAGGTGTGCTAAGATCTCCGGCATCTGCTTTACAATAATTCTACTTCGCGCGCGCGGGGCGGTCCCTGGGGATCTCCGGACGAAAAGCACCCTGGGCAGGTCCCGGGCGACTCGTGTCAGAGATGGTTTTCCTCCTGGGCGCTGCCGAGGCCGTCCAGAGAGTCCCAAGAAAGGCCAAAAGGCCGCCAAGAGCCCCTCAAGATGTTACAAGAGAGCTCCAAGATGCCACAAGATCTCTCCAAGACGCCCAAGATGGCCCCCAGACGGCCCACGGGGCCTCCAAGAGCACTCTCAAGAGGGCACCAAGAGGCACACACCATTGCTTTTCCTTTGGTTGTGGAAAGATTTTGGCGTTTCCACCTTGTCGGCCGACACCCAAGACAGCCCAAGAGGCCCCCAAGACCGCCCCAAGAGGGCCCAAGAGGCCCCCAAGAGGGCCCCAAGACGACCCAAGAGGGCTCCAAGACGGCCCAAGAGGCCTCCAAGACGGCCCAAGACCAAGAGGGGCGGCCCAAGAACGCCCCAAGAGAGGTCCCAGGGGGGGGGGGACACGAAACAACAGCCCTCGGCCCTAAGAAGCCCCAAGGAGTCCCCAAGAGGCCCCTAAGAGGCCCTAAGAGGCTCCCAACATGTCCTCAGGAGGCCCCCGAGAGGCCCCCAAGCGGCCCCAGGAGGCCCCACAAATGCCCCCCCGAGCACGCAAGCAAGTGCTAACGACCCGACGCGTTTGAGAGTCCCCAAGAGGCCACCAAGAGGCCTCCCGAAAGAGTCCCCATAGGCGAAACGCTTCCACACGGCCCGCGACGCGTTCAAGACTCACCCAGCGGCCACCAAGAAGCCTCATATGCCGAACGCAAAGCCTGATAAAAGCAGCCGCCGACCCTGCAGCTCCGCACCACGAAAGACCACTCGGTCAGTCGCCTGGGCCAGCGGAATGAGCGAAGCGATTCAATAACCTAGCAGCCTTCGTGAAAACGCTCCAAGATTCGGAGAAACCTTCTTAAATAGCTCGAGGCCCCAACAAGTAACCTGCCTTCTGAGACGCTCCCCTCGCGCCAATTCCTTGTGCGCGCGGCCAAGTACGGCACACAAGCAATGCTCGAAAACGTCCAACGTGGTCACCTACCTCGGCCGACCCCTGCTGACCAACCGCGGCGCGCCGCTTTCTTTTTCTGGGGCCGCATGCAGCTGCAGAAGCTCGGAAAGGGCCACCAGGCGCTTGAACGACAGCAGGTAGTCGTACTGCTGCGGGCGGAATTGGTTTCTTGGCAACGCAAGCCAAAAGTACGCGTGTCGGCTCGGACGAAAGGGTTGGATCGCAAAAGGGCACGTGCGAAACGAGCTCGCGTAGCTGATTTTCATAGCGCCTCCTGGCGCCAGAGGCGCTAGCGTTTTTTGGAAAGCGCCCGGCGGTGTGGCCGACAACAGCTGCATGCAGCCATTGTCCGTACCCCCGCCTCTCCAAAAAAAATCCCCGCTTCGCCCGACCGGAGCGTGGCGAGGGCTGCGGCCGTCTGATCAGGCGGGGGGTCCCCCGGTTTGGACGCCCGAAATGGGTACCGAAAAAATGGGTACTATGCCCAACAGCAAATGTTGTCCCGAACCAGGAGCAGCCGCTGTTGGGCAGGCGGCCTCCTGTTACGAATGGACACAGGCCGCGGCGGCGCGGACAGCGAGTCCTGTTCAAAATGAACAAGATCCGCTGTCGGGCATTGTACCCATGCTTTCCGTGCCCATTTCGTTCGTGCAGACCCCGGAGGGCTCGGAAGCCTCCGAAGAGGCCCCCCGGACGCCGAGAGCTGCCTTCCGAGCCCCACCTGCCTTTCAGGGGGGGCGCCTCCCTCTCTCGCCCCCCAGCCCCTTGCGCGCGCCGTGGCAGGCGAGGGGGCTCCGAGGGGTCCCCCGATGCCTTCTCCAGGGCCGCCCCCCGTCGCCCCGCCCCCACAGCTCTGCGAATGCCACGACCACGGACACCCTATTGAATTCAAAATGTGTTTCAAATGCAGAAAATGTTCGAAGCATGTGTTAACCATGTGTTTTACGTGTTTAAAAAATGTCTAACACAAGTTTCAGACATCTGGAAAGTGTTTGGCAACATGCTTCCTCTCCACTGATCGTCCTCCACAACCACAGCCGGTGGGCGCCGCCGAGCTTCCGGCCGCGCCCTGTGCGCTCGCTTCGTCGCTGCGCCTCCCTCGCCTTCTCGGAGGCGGAGCTCGCGGGTCCTCCTCGCGAGCCCCCCCGCCAGGGATCTCGGGAGAACGGGAAAGGAGAGAGGGAGAGAGAGAGAGAGAGAGAGAGAGAAAGAAAGCCCGACGGAGGGGCGAGAAGAGGGGGAGCGACGGCAGGGCGAGGGCGAAAGGGGGTGGAGAAAGAGGAGGAGGAGGAAGAGGAGGAGGCGGAGGAGGAGGAGGAGGAGGAGGGGGGAGGAGGAAGAGGAGGAGGAAGAGGAGGAGGAAGAGGAAGCGGAGGAGTTGCAGAGTGGTGGCGGGCAGGAGGGAGGTGGGCGGGGGGCGCGCACGCGTCACATCGCAGTGTTGCCAGGGCGGGGCGGGACGGACGAGTGGGCGCGCACCCTCCCCCCCCAAGAGGCTGCCAGAACCAGCAGCGTACAGGGCAGTGTTTCGTACATGTGATTGTTTCTAATATAAGATGTTTAACACATGATCAAAGTATGAACAAAGATATGCACGAACTCATCGTTGCTTTTAATACTAAACCCCTGCATTTGTTATACAAAAACGGCACTGTAGTGAACAAGCCTGCCTCAGACGCGTCGCAGCAAGAGCCGAAGGCCCGCTTGCAGACGCGCCCGCAGCAGGGGTCGGGCGGGACAGGACCGTGCAATAAACGCGCGGGGCAGTCTGGTAGACGCCGGTTATGGGGGGGTCGTGGTGGTTACTCCTCCCTCTGACTCCCCCTCCTTCCCCTCTCCGCTCTGTTAGGCGGCTCTAGCCACACCGTAGCATCCAGACACGATCAAATTTCTTTCAGCGCCAATGCTGTATTATTGCGCCAGACACGACGCGAAAAACGTAGGTCACGGCAACATCCATATGATTCGGTATGCATGCGCCCATGCTTCTTGCCCGCCCCCTCGTCCCTTTGTCGGGGGTGGAGCAAAAACCCTTTCAGCAAGACACCTTCTAGCTAAAACGACTCCACGACCAGACCTGGCCGGCGCCAACCCCGCAAAAACGACGGCCGCAACGCCCTGTCGGGAACCGAAAATGGGCAACTCGATAATCGATGTTGTAGGGTGGGGGCTCTATCGATTTCTCGATTATGAACGCCTCCTGCCTCCTCCCCGCACCCCCCCCTTCGACCGCCCCCAGCTGATGGGCGGGCGCCGTTTCGTCTTCCCCCACGCGCGGGGCGGCCTACGGCGTGAGGGCGCGGGGGGGGGTGATGCAAGAGGCTGGCTGCGACTTCGGGGGGAGGTAAAGGAGAGGGAAGAGGAATGGGGGTGGAGAGCGGGAAGGGCAGCCGAGGATGAAGGACCGAGGAGGAAGAGGAAAGGGCGGAGGAGGAGGAGGGAGTAAGGCTCGACGCGGACGGTGAGGGATGAGAATGACGGATTAAGCATCGAGTATGGAATTGCATGGTTGCTCCGTCCGCATGCGCTTGGGCAGAATGAAAAAAATGGGTTCTGTATTTCTGCACGTGCATTGCAATGTGCGGGGCTGCGACACGGCTGTGTGCGCTTACTCTGGCCACACCGCCACCTCAGACAGTATTGCGAGGGATGGATCGGCGGAGGGAGGGAGGGAGCAACAAGGGATGCACATTGTTGTGTTAGGCTTGGCGATTGGCGACTGGAGGGCAGCACTCACGGAGGAGGGGCCATCGCATCTGGCTGGATGTAAGGTGTCTGGATGTCTTACGCGTGCGGTGACTGCGTTTGCCCTTTCCCGAAAGCCGTCGGCGCCGCTCGAATCTGCATGGATGGGGGGGAACAGGGCTGGCGGATTTGGGCCCAGACTTCCCTCTCTTGGGGCGCCTCTGATGTCGGAGGCACGTGATCGCTGCTGCTTTATTTATTACAGATGCGGGCAAGAGGGGGCGCGGACACAGGGCTTCTGGAAGCCGCCAGCCACGCAATCTGAAAGCGCGCCACAGCTCCAGCGAATCAAGAGACATCTCGTCGCGGAAACCGAATACCATAAAAACGGCGTGGCATCTGCTACCCGCTGACAGCTAAAAAGAAGGCTGCATCCGGGGCGCTTCTCTGTCTCGCGACGGGCCTTCGCGGCCTCGGAGGAGGCGCTTGCGCGACAGATACCGCGCGCCCAGCGGTCGCGAAAGTCTGCCAACAGGCGAGCGCGCCACTGCGTTTGCCCACCCCGGAGGGAGGTCGAAAACCTCGACCCCGGGGCCATGGGCAGGAGGGGGAGGGCGATCGGCCCACCCTGCCTCAGGCCACCCCATCGGATGGGGTCCTCCGCAGGCTGCGCCCTCACGCGCGGGAGCGACGGCGGGCCGCGCGGGAAGACGCTGGGCAAGAAGCCCAGGAAACCGAACAATGAAGGCACGACCCGCTTGGCGGGCCTCAGCCTCGGCATGCAAGCTCTGCGCGCCCCCCCCTGCCACTGAACCGCAGGCCAGACGCCCCCCCTCGATCCAGAGGAGGGGTCGGGTTTATCTCGACCAGCTTGAATATTGCAAAAGGTTGGAAGGCCCCCCCCCGCCCCCGCTGCCCCGACCTTTAACAGCGAGCTCCAGCCCAGAATTGACATTCGTCGTGCTAGATTTGGGAACGAACTAAAACGCCACGGCTCAGAGCTGGTCTGAAGCGGATGCGCGGGAACACGCGACATCCTGCAATCGCGACGTTTTCAGCTGCAAGCGAACTGGCCGGCGGCAGGACAACTCCCTCACGTTTTCACCGATCACGCGCGTGAGATTCTTGCAGAAAGCCATCGCGCGCCCGCTGCGCATAGAGGCTCTGCTAGTTAGCTTGGCCGACTGTCGTCCGACGCTGTTCGGGGGCAACTCTTGCGCTGCAGCGCGCTGGGCAGTTTGGGTCGGGGGGGCCCCGGCGTGTAATATGTATACTCCAGATTTCGTAATAAAAGGGAGGGGGTCTCAACCCTCCCAGACGAGACCCCCCCCGTGGGAGAACCCTCCAAAACATCGTCCCCAGACCCCCCCAGGCCCTCCAAGATAGCCTGGAAGAGACCCCCCCCGAAATGAGACCCCCCTCCCTTTATTACAAAATCTGGAGTACATATATATATATATATATATATATATATATATATACAAATAAAGAGGATGAGAGAGAGAGAGAGAGTGTGAGAGAGAGAGATGCGCGCACTTGTTTGCGCCCGTCGGGGCACCCGCAAAACGCGACGTCGGACCGCCCGTGTCGGGGGGGGCCCAAACAATAACGACGACATATCAATGCGCGCTTGGGTCCGCTGGGGCGCTCGTAAAACAAAATGCCCACCATCTGTACAGCTTTCGATGACATCCGATGCCCAGGGCCCTCCCTGCGCCGTAGGATCATAAAACTTCGAATGGAAATGCGGGTGGGCATCCGAAGTCCGAGCGAAAAGCCCTGCTGACAGTTTAAATTCTCGAAACGCGCCGGCTACCATTACCGCGCATCGCTCGCGAAAATCGCGCGCGCGCCGGTCGGCGCGCCCGAATCGCTCTAGAAACTCCAGCGCCCAGCTGCCGCAGCCGTCGAAGAAGCTGCGCCCTGGCTGCTCGAACTGGCTGCGCAGCCCGCTTCGCCTGCACGCCTCACTCAACCCACTCCCCCTCCTAATCGTTCCTCTTTGATCGCCTCCTTGATTGCCTCTTCCCTTCCAGGGAAAGAAGAGGCGATCAATGAGGAAGAGGAAGAGATTCTTCCTCTTTCTCATCCCCCCGCCCACTCCCTTATTTCCATCGCCGTTTTCGTTTCCCCCGTTCCGCCGATCCGAAAACTTGGAAACCGATCGAATGAGCCAGGGCCCACGGACAAGGCGCGCGCATATGCATATTACTGCTCATCTACGACGTTAACCTTAGATCTGAGATCGGAAACCCGAACGCCGATCTTAACACTTAGATGTTAGACTCTATTGGGCCCCATGGTCCAAAGCCGATGTTAGATCTTAGATCGGTTTCGAAGCGGGATGCCGATCTTAGACCTCATATCATAGGTCTTCGACTCCAAAGCTTTCGAGCTGCCATGATCAAGGGTAGCGCACGGATACAGGAAAACCCTCGCGGCGCCTTCCGCGCGACCGCATCGAGCACCAATGCCGAGCACGCGGGGGCCCTGGCGCCTGCGAGCAGCGTGAACAAGATTCTCGCGCCAGGGCAGTTCATGGTGATCTGTCTAGCCCGTCGTTCAAAAAGTGCTCGCTTGGAGAAGGCGCCGTCGCCGATGGCCGAAAGGAGGTCCCAGGCGCACTGTATCGCTGCTCTCTGGGAAGGGAAACCCAAGTGGCCGCCATCCTGAATGACGCGTTGATAGGCCAGACAAGCTGCGAGGCTGGCTGCAGTCTGCGAGTGCACGTGCTGGGGCCTAGCGGCGATGACGGCGATGACCGATACTACAGGGTGCACTCCAAGGCACATCCAAGCATACTGACTTCCAGGCGAAGCAGGAACCCTCGGCGCAAACATTGTTTGGGAAACAACACCCCCATGCCGCAACGGCCGCGGCGAGGCGCAATGCTCCGTGGTTCTGCGACCGCGGGGATACTGCAACGCATCGTTTGGGGCCCGGGCTTGCGAGTACCGTTGTACGTATGATGGGTCGGCGAGACGCATGACACGCATGACCACTACACGAGGAAAAAGTGCTGCGTTTGTGAAATAATATGTGCCCCGATGATTGCGAATCGTACCGGATTACGAATCTGATGCCACGATGGCAAAATCTGGTCATGATGATCGAAAAACAAATTTTGAAGTCGGACGCATGGACTCCATAGAAGAGTTGGTCGGCTGCAAACGGGCGGGCGGCCCGGCGCATCTGCGCATCGCCGCGGCATGCGGCATCTCAGCGCCCAACTCCCAAAGGGGGGGCAGAAAAAGGAGGAGGGGGAGGAAGGGGAAGACCGTGAGGACTGAGGACGAGGAGGAGGAGGAGCAAGGGCGTGCTAAAAAGTCGCACATTGCCGATGCCAGTAGTGACGGGCGACGGGGAAGCTGCAGAGGGTGGCGTAGACGCGTGGACGGCACATCCGCCCATCTGAGCAACCCATCAAAACGGCAATGGCGGCGGCGAAATTAGCGAAAACTTCCTGTCCGTCAGGACTGAGACTTCGACTCAGTCAGCTGTCAGTCAGCACGATGGGCGCCATCGTCGCCATTACCAGCATCGCCATCGAACGCCGGCATGTGCTCGTCACGATCGGGCAGCGAGATGGCAGCCGCAGCGGCACCGCGAGGCTTGCGAACCCGTCGGGTGCACTTCATGGTGGACACCTTCAAGAGACGATTTCCGATCTGGTGTGCGTCATCGGCGTGCTTCCCGACCCTGTCGATCAGCTCTTTGCCCAAGGGGTGCGAGGTGTCGAGCTCGGAGCTCACGCGGCCCAGGATCTTGGCGACGTCGTTCTCAGCGTGGAGGGTCAGCGAACCAGCATGAAAGTTGCCCTCGAGAACGGGCATAGCGCCGCGCTGGCCACCGTGGCTCGAGAGCGAATCCAGAAACCACGTTCAAACGCTAATCAACCCGAACAAAAAGATGCGCGGTAAGGACGCAAGGGCCTCGGAGGGCCACGTTGACGTTTGCTTGAACGAGGTTGGCCAGAGAAACCCGCTAAGGATGGGCCGAAGGGGCAAGAATGCAAGGGTAGCCTTGGGAAACTGCTCGACCTCACTATGCGGGTTGACTGTGGAGCTCGAGCCTCGGACAGCAGCAGAGCGGGCCGGGGCGGGATGTCGAGGGCCAGCGGGAAGAAAGGAAGTCGTGAGGAAAATTCACAGCAACGCAGAGTAGTAGCAATAGTAGTAGTAATAGTAGTCGTAGTAGTAGTAGTAGTAGTCGTCGTAGTCGTAGCCGTAGTCGTAGTTGAAGTCGTAGTCGTAGTCGTAGTAGTAGTAGAAGTAGTAGGAGTAGTCGTAGTAGTAGTAGTAGTAGTAGTAGTAGTAGCAGTAGAAATAATAGTGGTAGTAGTAGTAGTAGTAGTAGTAGTAGTAGTCGTCGTAGCAGTAGTGGTCGCAGTGGTAGTAGTAGTCGTAATAGTAATAGTAGTAGTAGTAGTAGTAGTAGTAGTAGTAGTAGTC